TAGATTATACGACATTGAGTTGGTGAAATTACATATCATTGTATTGATTCGTTAGAAAATATAATCAATGAGCACGTCTCTCGACTCTTGTAAACGAAATGTTCATATTGCAATTGAAATGAGTTCAACTTATTGATTCTCGGGGCATGGATGTGTCGTGGCAACGTATACTCGTATTTATAGATAGAACGACACAAGTGTCATTTAACAGTTCTTGTGTCATTATGTTGATTTCTCAAATATTTTGCCTTCTTTTTCAACGTAGCGACCTCAAACATGGATTCCCTAACTTAAGAAAGTTAGAAAGGTTGATAATGTGACAAAGAACAGTTGAATTGATATAAATTATACGATATTGAGTTGGTGAAATCACAAGTTATTGTATTGATTCGTTAGAAAATATAATCAATAAACACATCTTTCAACTTTTGCAAATGGAATGTTCATAGTGCAATTGAAATGAGTTCAACTTATTGATTCTTGGGGAATGAATGCGTCATGGCTACGTATACTGTGTTTATAGATAGAACGACACAAGTGTCGTTTAACAGCTCTTGTGTCATTCTGTTGATTTCTCAAGTATTTTCCTTCTTATCCAACGCAGAAACCTCAAACATGGATCCCCTAACTTAAAAAAGTTAGAAAGGTTGATCATGTAATAAAGAACGGTTGAATTGACATAAGTTATACGATACCGAGTTGGTGAAATCATAAGTCATTGTATTGATTCATAAAAAATATAATTAATTGGCACATCACTCAATTTTTATAAATGACATATCCATCTTGTTACGTATACTCGTGTTTATAGATAAAATGACACAGGTATCGTTTAACAGCTCTTGTGTTATTCTGTTGATTTCTCAAGTATTTTGCTTCTTTTCCAACGCAGCGACCTCAAACATAGATCCCCTAACTTAAGAATGTTAGACATGTTGATCAAGTAACAAAGAACGGTTGAATTAACATAAGTTATACGATATCGAGTTGGTAAAATCATAAGTTATTGTATTGATTCGTAGAAAATATAATAAATTAGCACATCTCTCAATTTTTATAAATGACATATCCATCTTGCAGTGGAAATGAGTTTCGGAGTTATCTATACTCGTGTTTATGATAGAATGACATAAGTGTCATTTTCTTTACAATAACAGCACAAGTGTCGTTCTCATGGATAAATTATATTTCGATAACCGCACTTATGTCGTTCTTTTAGAACTTTTCATCTCAGTAACGACAGAAGTGTCGTTCCTAATGACATTTTCATCATCTAAGCGACACTAGTTCCGTTCTCTTAGAACTTTTCATTTCAATAACAGTACAAGTGTCGTTCTCAATGACATTTCATCCTCAAGCATTGGATCTGTAAAGTACGCGAGAAAAATAAATCATGTGATAAAGAACGATTGAAATGATGTAAACTATTTGATATAAAGTTGTTGAAAGTACAAATGATTCTATTATTTTCAATAAAATAAAAGTAATGAGCATATCTCTTAATTTTTTTAAATGTTATGTCCACATTGCAACTTAATTGAGTTCAACTTATTATTTCTTGACTCAAGGACGGTCATGGCTGTTTAAACTTGTAATTATAGATAGAATGACATAAGTGTCGTTTTATTATCAGTAACATCAATTGAGCTGTTCCATTGATTTCTTCTTTATTTTCGTCTGTTTCCGAAGCTACGAACTTTAGAATTGAACACCTTAAGTTGTGTTGTTAGCACAGTAATAATAGAAGTTTATATTTTGGTAACATCACTTATACCGTTCTCTTAGAATTTTTAATTTTAGTAATAACGTTAATATCGTTCTTAGAGACTTTTCATCTCAACAACGACACAAGTGTCATATTCATGGACAAGTATATTTACAAGCATAATGATAACTGTAAAATTCTTATAGATGTTCTCATCTTAGTAGCAGCACAAGTGTTATTCTCATAAACAAATAAATTTACAATCATAACAGCGGTGTGTTATCATTGGAAGGCTAGACTGACAATTAATAAGCATATTTCTCAACTCATATTTGTAGATAGAACACGAAAAAGTCGTTTTCATTTCAGTAATGACTCTTGTGCTGTTCTATTGATTTCTCCTATATTTTATTTTATTCTAACACAATGATTTCAAACATTAAACCCTCTAACGAAGCATAAACATAATGATTTCAAACATTAGACCCTCTAACGAAGCATAAACATTTTCATGTCAGTAATAT